TTATTGTATTTGTATATACTTAGAAAAATCTGGAAAGATACACATAAAAAATTATACAGTGGTTACTTCTGCTTTGTAGTATGCTTTTTATTGTTTTTCCCTTGTTCTTTATATTTTATATTTTTGTGTATCAATTTTTTTGTTCAAGAAGATTAGACATTTATAATTCTTTAAAAAATAATTTTAAGAGTGAATAGGAAAATTATGAGTATGTGAGAATTTCATACATGAAAAAGTAATGTTTTATATCAGTGAACAAAAGAGAAATTTTTAAATTATGGGATATAAAAACCAACCATTTGAAAATCTCAAATGGATCAATATTTTAAACATGTTAAGGGAATTATAAAGATACTAAAAAAGGGAAATAATTGTAAATATTTATTTAATTGGGAAAGAGGGAATTACTTCTGAAGTATAATATCAAAGACAGAAATAATCATAAAAGGAAAAAACCTTACAAGATTTTCAATATATAAAACTTTAAAACAGCTATATGACAAAATAAATCATTAACAAAAGAGACATTTTGAAAATATATAACAAGAGGTCTAACAAATCTGTATTTTAAAAGATGAACAGCCAACAGAAAAATAAAGAACATGAATAAGTAACCCCAATCACCAATAAACATGAAATAAACATATAAAAGATGTTCAACCTCACTATAAATTGTGTTTAGTTTTGCTTTTTAAAATAATGTCCAGGGGCGCCTGGGTGGCTCAGTAGTTGGGCATCCGCCTTCGGCTCAGGTCATAATCCCAGGGTCCTGGGATTGAGCCCCACATCAGGCTCCCTGCTCAGGCAGGAAGCCTGGTTCTCCCTCTCCCACTCCCCCTGCTTGTGTTCCTGCTCTCACTCTCTCTCTCTGTCAAATAAATAAATAAAATCTTAAAAAATAATAATAATAATAATAATGTCCAAATGGGGCACCTGGGTGGCTCAGTCAGTTGAGTGTCCCACTCTTGATTTTGGCTCAGGTCATGATCTCAGGGTTGTGGGACTGAGCACCCCCTACCCCACTTCCCTACTCAGTGGGGAGTCTGCTTGATATTCTCTCTCTCCCTCTCCCTCTGCCCCTCCCTCCACTCACATGCACCTGCACTCTCTCTCTAAAATAAATAAATCTTTTTAAAAACTAAATAAATAGAATAATGTCCAAATCTAGCACCTAAAATGAGCACTCTGATAAAATGATGATGGGAATGTAAAACTGTTACAGTTTTTATTGAGAAAAACTTATAAGTACATATTAAAAGGCTAAAAAAGTGCATACCCTTTGAATCAGCAATTGCACTTCGAAGAAATGTCTAAGAAAATAAGGATATATGCTAACTAAAATTTAGTTAAAAGGATCTTCATCAAAAAATAGAAAAAATCAAGTCAGATAACTATCCAACAGTAAGTGATTGATCATATGATAGCAAATATATACAATGAAATCAAAAAGAGCCCTTAAACATGGTTTGTAGAAATATGTTTATCATATGTAAAACCATCAAAAATATTCTATATAAAAAATTTGTTACACTGTATATTTAAATAATTATCAAAAATGTGTACAGACAGGGGCGCCTGGGTGGCTCAGTCGTTGGGCGTCTGCCTTCGGCTCGGGTCATGATCCCAGGGTCCTGGGATCGAGCCCCACATCGGGCTCCCTGCTCGGCGGGAAGCCTGCTTCTCCCTCTCCCATTCCCCCGCTTGTGTTCCTGCTCTCGCTAACTCTCTCTCTCTCTGTCAAATAAATAAATATCTTTAAAAATAATAATAATAAAAAAATGTGTACAGACAGAAAAGTTCTGAATGGATATATTTTTAAATTTTAATAGTAGTTATCTCTGAAAGCCAGGTTTCCAAGTTTTCTTCTTCTCATCTATGTTTTCTAATTTTGGCACACTGAGAATCTTTTATCTAAAAGAAATGAAAAATGTGGGACACCTGGGTGGCTCAGTAGGTTGGACATCTGCCTTCGGCTCAGGTCATGATCCCAGGGTCCTGGGATCGAGTCCCACATCCAGCTCCTTGCTCGGCGGGGAGCCTGCTTCTCCCTCTGCCTGCTGTTCCCCCTGCTTGTGCTCTCCCTCTCTCTCTGACAGATAAATAAATAAAATCTTTAAAAATTTTTAAAAAAAGCTTTTCAAACTTGCACCACTGAGGAATTAATTGCATAGGAAATCTGAGAACATTCCTAACAAAAGTCCCCTTATCTAAGCACTTAGTATATCATATGGTGATTAGTTAGGTTTTCTGCCTCACAAGAATGTGACCTCCTACAAAACAGGAACTGAGTCTTATTCATTTCTTTTTTATTATAATGCATACTTTATTTAGTGTGTGGTATAACAGTAGGCTGAATGAATGAATGATAACCTTTATCAGGGAGCTCAAAGGCTCTCCAAGACACCTAAGATTTAGATCCTGTATAGGAAACACAGACGAGTCACCTATGAATCACCGAAGGCTAGCCAAAGGAGCCTCTCAGTAAAGATGAATTCTATTTAACTAACTGCTCAGACCAAAAAATCCTGAAGTTTTCTTTGATTCCTCTTTCTTTCGCACCTCACACCCAAACCATTGACAAATCCAAATGAACAAATCCTGTTCATTTGGTCTTCACACAGCCAAAATGACCTTCTAACAGGCAGATCCATTCATGCAACTCTATGCTCCAAACTCCCAATACATGTAGAATAAAATCCAACGTGTTTCCCATGGCTTACAAGCCCTGCATGATCTGCTGCAGATGCCCTCTTTGAACACATTCCCTTCCGCAATGTCTCACAGGGTTCCAGCCACACTGGCCACCTTACTATTCCTAGAACTTGTCAAGCACGTTCCCACCTCAAGGCCTCTCCCCTCTCCACACCCGTCTTTTTTCCCTCTTTGCTGGGAATCCACTTCTTTTTAAAACTGACCTTATCAAAAGATCGCTGCTTAAAAGTCACTTTATCAAAATGGCTATCTTTAACCGCTTTATTCTAATAGCAGTCCTTCCCAACCAGCCTTCTACCCTCGCTTCCTCTAATCGGCTTTCTTTTCCGTGCACCACCTGCCAATATATTATCTATTAATTTGTCTGTTGTCTATCTCCTCCACTAGAATGCCTATTGGGACAAAGAGTTTGTTTTCTTCACCACTCAATTTCAGGCACTTTGAATAGTGCCTGTTATGTTGGAAGTACCGAATACTTACAAGGTAATTAGCAGAATGAATAAGTAAATAACTTTGGCAAGATATGTTTCAAGTTCTCCGTATAAACACAGTATCGGGGCCAATATCTGCTCTAAACGACAGAGTTATCTCCTGAGGCCAACACCAGGAAGGGAAGTTGGAATGAAGCAGGTGGAATAACAGCAGCGTATTAGTAATACTGACGTTGCTGATGATCAGGCCCAGAGTTCCCCAATCCCCAAAAGCCTCCCTGACCTCTCATCCCACTACCATTTAAAACCCACATATACCTTATTGAACTTAAAGTTTTTCTAAGAATTTCTAAACATATTTAACAAACATTGTAAATTATTTCCATGAGGAAAAGTCAGTTATTTCATACTCTGACAACCTCCTTCTCATTAGCTAGTAACCAAACACTATTTTTTTTTAGTAAATACCACAGTTTATTTTTTTTTTTTTAAGATTTTATTTATTTGACAGAGAGAGACACAGTGAGAGAGAGAGCACAAGCAGAGGGAGTGGGAGAGGGAGAAGCAGGCTTCCCCACCGAGCAGGGAGCCCAATGTGGGGCTCAATTCCAGGACCCTGGGATCACGACCTGAGCCGAAGGCAGACGCTTAACAACTGAGCCACCCAGGCGCCCCCCAAACACTATTTCTTAATATGTAGGCTTGTAACATGGAATAATCATCTGATTTGCTAAAGCCACTAATTATTTCTCACTGCCCTTAATTTTTCAGTAAAATGAGGCAAAGAGAGACCCTGCAAAATAAACACAGGCATTCTCAAAGCATGTGTGAGGGAAGCCTCAGGGTACCAAGGTCAGCTGTGGTCTATGTCACAAGTAGTTTGTTAACTAAAAGTAGTTAACGTACCTAAATTTGAGAATTAGTTATTTTAAAAAATAAACTGGACTATGGTCAGTGTCATTTACAAGCTTCACTTCCTTTCTGATACCAGTTAAGAAGATCTACTCTTGTAGAGATGTTATGGGGGCTGGGATAATTTATCAAGTACATCTTGTCCCAGGCAAGAATGATTCAAGAATGGGAAAGCCACATACAGCTGATGGAACAGTGCACAAAAACAGTGGAAGGTGGGAAAGTCTGTTTGCAAACCTCGGCACACAGGCAGCCAAATAGAAAACCGTCCTCCACAAGGAGTCTATAAATTGGAGCATCTGTTAAGACACACACACGTATCACGTGCCCTGAGAGGAAGTGGCATCTTTCTTCATATCCCAATCAGCCTTAAAAATTATTTAGCCTTTACACTAGGACTAATAATCCTAACCTTACATTTGTACGTCTCATCCTCCTCACCCTAGGAGGGTTGCATCAATCCCAAATCTGACTCCCTGAGGTCTACAAGTGAAAGAGAAAAACTAAGACATTACTGAATATAGCTAACACTTAGCAAAACTATTGTCCCCTGAAGTGTCCATATAGTAAAACAGTAAGCCCCTGCCTTATGCTTTGTCAGAACAAGTCCTTTCTATACACTCTACAGTGGAGAACTATAGCAACAGGAAAACCGCCAGCAGAAATACTGTATGCCCTGTATGAACTTCCGCTTTCCAGAATTAGTGATGTCCCACACTGGGTCGGTCCGTCTCCACCAAGTCCGGACCCCATAAGTGCTCTCCGCCAACAGTACATAAATTGCCTCAGCATTTCCCCGCCCCAGACCACAAGACGCAAAGGGAAAGTTAGGGCCAAACCCAGGAACACAGCCTAAAGCTTGGGGGCTGCCAAGCCGTTCCTGGGCCCCTCTCAGCACGAGGGGCATACGGGTGCAGGTTCCGGAGGGGCGGCCGCACACAGTACCTGGATGAGGCCCCGCTGCAACAGGGCGCTGTGCACGCAACCGGGGACCCTCCCCGGCAGCTCCAGCGAGCCGTTCCCGCTGCGGATCCTCCAGCTTCCCCGCAAGCTGAGGCTGCGTCCCAAGGCAGTGGGGCCCGCTCCGCATAAGGCGAGCAGGAGAAGCAGGCGGAGGCGCATATCGAGAGCGGGTGCTACTGCACCCGGATCGGCGGCCGCGGAAGCACGGGTCCCTCGGGAGAAGCCGGGCTCTCGCTCTCGCCGCCAGAGCCCCGCCCCCGCCCGGGCCCCGCCCCCAGGTCAGCTGAGCGGCTGGGACCGCCCTGGCCCCTGAGGCTGAGCGGGCTGGCGGTCAGCGCCGAGCTCTGGTGGCTGGGCAGAATCGGGTCCCGGTCTGGTACCTCTACAGTCTGGGCAATTCTCAGCGCTTGTTCCTGCTGCTCCGATGTCTGAACAGGAGGCGAGAACTGTGCAGGGTAATTGGTACACACAGATTCCTGGGCACAGTGTGGCGCGCAAAGCCTCGGGGAGCTCAAGGACAGACAATAGGATGACGAGACACAGCTAGAGAGGCTCCTAACGGCTACAGAGAACCGAAACACCGAGACACTCGCCGCCTCAACTCCCCCAAATTTCCCCAGACCCTCATCCACACTGCAAGGGCCTGCCTGGCGGCAGTAACGGTCACCTCCTGCAGCTCCACAGGTGGTCTCAGAGCGTACTCCCACCCTTCAAAGAGTAAACAGTGACTAAAATTACCTCATTCGTAGAGTCATTTTTTTTTAAATAAGACTTTTTTATTTTCTTATTTTTTTTAAAGATTTCATTTATTTGTTTGACAGAGAGAGACACAACGAGAGAGGGAACACTAGCAGGGGGTGTGGGAGAAGGAGAAGCAGGCCTCCCGTAGACCAGGGAGCCCGATGCCGGGGCTCGATCCCAGGACTCTGGGATCATGACCTGAGCCGAAGGCAGACGCTTAACGACTGAGCCACCCAGGCGCCCCTCGGAAAGTCATTTTGAGGGCTGAGAAAATCCGTGCACAGCGTGCAGCGTAGGGCCTGGCCCAGAGATAAACAGCACGTTAGTTAATATTAGTGGACTACGACCCTCTGTTTTTAAAAAACCTCACAGAGGAGGCTTCTTGAGGAAACAGAAATTTGCCCTAAATGCGCTGGCAAATTTAAAATCCTCTGCCGCTCAGTGAGTGTGAGACTTGAACTGGAAAGTTTCTGAACTCACAAATGTGGACGGCACACTTTTTTCAGGTTGTTATAAGCATAAAATGAATTAACATGTATAGCTGTTCCTAACAACGCTGGGGTACCCAAGGAATAGCACAGGCTTATTTCAGGTTTCATTGTCACGTGGTCTACTTAAGTCCCATTTTGCAATAGGATGTAACAGTGATCTTAGGAAGGTGACACGGAATTTTACATTACATAAAATAGATTTATTCCTGTGCTGATGTTATCTCCCTTGTTTCCATATTTAGGAGGAAGCCTTTAAAGAGTTCTCCCTTCATCAAATCTGAGCTTTATTTTGACTATTTAAAATGACCCTGGAATTGCCTGAATCTCTAGACACAGGGCAGTATTTTACTTTTACAGAGTCATTATTTTTCATAAGCCTAGCATCTTGGCTTTAGGGATATTATGGATTACTAGTCCAAACCTCTGGTTTTACATCTGAGGGAACAGAGTCCAAAGCAGTCAGGTGACTTGCCTGTCATACAGTAGCAGGCAGGACCAAAATTCTCCAATTCTGGCTTAGTCTCCTTGTAGTAGAGCCTATCGATATTGAGAAGGCTCTGGCTGGCTCAAAGCCTTCCTCACTTCAGCAGCGTTCTTTTGATAGGAACAAAGCTCTCAATTCAAATAATATGCCATAACTCAGTGCATTAAATAGTCAGCCCTGGTCTGTTTAAAACTAATAACAAGACATAACAGCAAGAGTAGTAAAGGAATTTTTTCATAAATCTCAGAGATTCCATTAAGCCAGGTCAAAGGAAAACTCATCCCAGCAAGTATGTTTTGATATATTCTGTTGTTCTATTAGGAAATAGTTTAATGTGGCACCTGGGTGGCTCAGTCAGTTAAGCTTCTGCCTTCAGCTGAGGTCATGATCTCAGGGTTCTGGGATCAAGCCCCAAATCAGGCTTCTGCTCAGCAGGGAGCCTGCTTCTCCCTCTCCCGGCCCCCTGCCTCTGCTCATGCATGCACTGGCTCTCTCTTAATAAATAAATAAATAAATAAATAAATAATAAATAAATAAATAAAATCTTTTTTAAAAAAAGAAAAAATAATTTAAGGAATCTATTTTAAGAAAAAAAAAGAATACACACTTTTCATTTCTCCTTTCATTCCAGGACACAAACAAGGCATGACTTGGATTGCTTCACCTTGAAATCAGAGAGCTTTGAGAAAAATCAAACCCCTAATAAGTATTTTGCCTAAAGTTTGGATTGGCACAGGTAATATGACAAATTTTCATTTTGTTATAGGATAATTTTTTGTCCATTATTTCCAGGAAGAATAAATCTTATTTTTAGCCATAAAAATTTTTAACTGAAGTAATTTAAAGCCGCAATATGAAACACAATTTTAAAAAATAGTCACAAGTCCTTACACTGTATAAATGGATTCTATTTTATCATCTCATTTGATGCTTTCTAAAATTCAAATTGTTTAGATCAAACGATAGTTTCCTGGTTTAAAAAGACAAGGCTTATAGAAGTTAAATGATATGCAGGGTCAGCATTCTGCTATAGAAGACCAATGAGGGCTTTTTGGCTCACATGACAATGCTTCCATCATCTCTAAATATATGAAGTTGGTAAACTCATTAGATTAGAACACCAAGGTATACCAAGGCCAAGGATGTTCCAATCCCATGAGATAATTACATAAATTATAATGAGGGGAAGAAAAATGACTCAGAGTGTCTGCTTAATCCCCAAAGCTAGGGATAGTAGGCCAGAAGTATCTCCCTAGAAAGTTATACAAAGACCTCTTAAACTCAACAGTAAATTCACAAACAACCTGGCTAAAAAATGGACCAGAGACCTTAGCAGACAAGTCACCTAAGAAGATATACAGATGGCAAATAAACATATGAAAAGATGTTCCACATCATATATCATCAAGGAAATGCAAATTAAAACAACATGAGATACCCCTACACACCTATTAGAATGACCAAAATCCAAAACACTGACAACACCAAATGTTGACAAGGATGTGGAGAAACAGGAACTCTCATTCATTGTTGATGTGAATGCAGAATGGTAAAACCACTTTGGAAGATACTTTGGTGGTTTGTTACGGAATTAAAAATGCACTTACCTTCTGATCCAGCAATCACAATGCTTGATATTTACCCAAAGGAGTTGAAAACTTATGTCCATACAAAAATATGCAGGGGCGGGTGCCTGGGTGGCTCAGTTGGTTAAGCGACTGCCTTCGGCTCAGGTCATGATCCTGGAGTCCTGGGATCGAGTCCCACATCGGGCTCCCTGCTCAGCAGGGAGTCTGCTTCTCCCTCTGACCCTGTTCCCTCTCATGCTTTCTATCTCTCATTCTCTCTCTCTCTGAAATAAATAAAATCTTTAAAAAAAAAAAAATATGCAGGGGCATATGGGTGACTCAGTCAGTTAAGCATCTGACTCTTGATTTCACCTCAGGTCATGATCTCAGTGAGATCAAGGCCAGGCATGGAGCCTGCTTAAGATTCTCGCTCCCTCTGCCCCTCCCCCCCAACTCATGTGTGCATGCATGCATGTATGCTTGCTTTCTATGTAAAAAAAAAAATTAAAAAAAAATACATGTGGATATCTATAGTAGTTTTATTTGTAACTGTTAAAACCTGGAAGCAACCAAGATGTCCTTCAGTAGGTGAATGGATAAGTAAACTGTGGTATGTCTGAACAATGGAATGTTATTCAGTGCTAAAAAGAAATGAACTATGAGCACTGGGTGTTATTTGCAACTAATGAATCATTGAACACTACATCAAAAACTAATGATGTACTGGGGCACCTGGGTGGCTCAGTCGTTAAGCCTCTGCCTTCAGCTCAGGTCATGATCTCGGGGTCCTGGGATCAAGCCCCACATCGGGCTCCCTGCTCAGCGGGAAGCCTGCTTCTCCCTCTCCCACTCCCCTGCTTGTGTTCCCTCTCTCACTGTGTCTCTCTCTGTCAAATAAATAAATAAAATCTTAAAGAAAAAACCTAATGATGTACTATATGTTGGTTAACTGAACATTAAAAAAAAGAAAATAAACTTAAAGAAAAGTGAGTCAAAAAAACTTATGACCAATAAAGATATCATATAACAGTGTATTACTATGTATTATATAGACAATTTTGACACAAAAATGGTGTTTGTTATTTTGATTGCATTTCAAAACTAATAAATTAATCTTGAAAAACAAAAGAAAAAAACTAAAAACAAAACAAACAAAAAAAAGAAATGAACTATCAAGCTGTGAAAAACAGGGAGGAAAATTAAATGCATATTACAAAGTAGAAGAAGCCAATCTGAAAAGTCTATATAAAATATGATTCCAACTATATGACATTCTGGAAAAAGTAAAACTATGGAGACAGTAAAAAAGATGAGAAGTAAAAAGATGCCAGGGGTTAGGGAGGGATGAATGTATAGAGCACGGAGGACTTTTAGGGCAGTGAAACTACTCTGTATAACCATAACGGTGGGTATATATTGCTATACTTTTGTCAGAACCCAGAGAATGTACAACACCATGAGTGAAGTGCAATGTCAACTATAGACTTTGGGTGATAACGTAGGTTCATCAGTGGTAACAAATACACCATTGTAGTGGGGGATATGATAACGGGGAAAGCTGTGTATGTGTGGGAGCAGGGAATGTATGGGAAATCTCCATATTTTTCATTCAATTATGCTGTTAACTTAAAATTACTCTAAAAATAGTCTATTAAAATATATATTTCTAGAAATTCCATGGGTCAAAGAAATAAGACTTCCTGTGATTTGTCAGGTAAAGATCTTGGAAGTCATCACTGCATCCTAAAAATAAGTAAAAAGCTGAACTGAAAATCACTAACTCTTCGTAGATCCCTCAGAGAATTCAGGTGACAGCAAACCACTACCCCCAAAACTGGAGAGATAGGTGGATACGGAGAATCACAGCTTACCAAA